TCTCTCTCTCTCTCTCTCTCTCTCTCTCTCTCTCTCTCTCTCTCTCTCTCTTGCAGAGCCTCATTATTTGATCACCATGATCTGGCAGACTACCTAATTTCTGTGGTAATTATTCAACTTACAGACTTACAAGTCTAGTTTTCTTAAACTAGTACTTACACTACACTTGGAATCATCATTTATTATAGTATGATTTTTTTTAATTTTAAGTAAACCACAGGTTCTTGGTTAACATATCTGTCTATTGGCTGGAGAGGTGGCTCAGCAGTTAAGAGCACTGGCTACTCTTCCAGCGGGCCTGAGTTCAATTCCCAGCAACCACATGGTGGCTCACAACCATCTATGATGAATTATAATGCCCTCTTTTGACATGCAAGTGTGTGTACAGATAGAGTACTCATTGATAAAATGAATGAATAAATAAAATTTTTTAAAAAAATCTGGCTATTTAAAATTTAATAGAAATATTTGTGGAAATAGAAATTATTTTAATCTTAGTCTCAGAGTCAAACAAATATGATTCAATTTTGAAATACTATCCTAAATCATGACCATAAAATTTTGCTTATTAACTGCAATTTATATATAAAATAACATGAGATGAAAGTTAAGGGTTTGCTAACAAGGTAGTACAAAGAAATTTCAGGCAGTTGTTTGGCAGCCAGACCTTCTAGAAAGCTGATTAACACACTTGTAAGAGAGTGTATTTCCTGTGAATGCACAGTAGCCAGACTATGATGTTAGAAGAACTGAAGTATATAGTTTTAAGTCCTCATCAATGTGCTTTGTGTTTAGAGTTTATGGGTCTACTGCAAAGAAAGCTCTTTTGGGTGTCCATGAAGGGATCTTCTTAGGACTGTGGGTATAGGAAAGTCAACTGATGCTTTATCGGCACTGATGTATCTCTTGGGCAGATGTAGTACAGGCTACCTACATCTCTTTCATCTTCCAAAATAAGGTTTTATCCCCACTACCACAGCATCATCTTCCAAACCATGAAAAACAATGAAGTCAAAAGATATGTTGAAGATTTGCTGACAATAAAAGCCTGAGATCTTTTTCATTAGAGAAGCACATGTGACTAGGTTTTGATGGGCATTTTCCCAAGCCTGTACAAGGGTGGTTGTGTGCTGGTGGGTGTATTAGTTCCTACACAATGGCCAATCACCAAAGCTCCATTCACAGTATTTAGCAATTCCTGTGTTATTAGTAGTAGCTACTGAAGTATTTACACAAAAGTATACAGAAGAGCTTCACTAGATGCCCTGTGTTTGTGCCATGTGTGCTTTCTTGTTGATGGGCTGTTGGGAGAGTCATGGCTGACCCTCACCATTGCCATCATCTTCCTGTAAGCTGTTGCTGCTGCTCTCAGCTATACTCTGCAAGAGCAAAGGGAGATGCCTGATTCAAAGTTTATGCAATTTTTACTAATCTACCCAAAGTAGAGAATTTAATCCATGAAAAATTTAAGGGTCCTTTGTTTCCTATCACGTAGAATATAGTCTCTTAACACACACACACAAAAATAACAAAAAGCATTTTTTAATGTGAATTTTCACATGATGTTTGGATAAACTCTTACTTCCATAATTTTAATTCCTTTGTCTCATTTTACATATTTTAAATACTGTAGGCATGTTTAAGTAGATGACTTTTTGTTATTGCTTTAAAAATTACGCAGCAATAAATATGGAAAAATCTAAATTAGAGGCATTTAAATAATAATTTTTATGGTGAGAACTAAAGTAAGTTTTAAGTAAGAAGGTTTTGTTCTAAGGACTTGGTTAGTAATTGATCTACTGACAGATGTTAATCAAGAACTTAAATTAACATGGGGAAACAATTTCATTGTTATATTTATTATAGAATATCTTGATATCTAACGGTATTTGAATTTTATAGAAATGTCATATAATTCTATGATTATTTAAAATTGAGTGATGGAATAATGGACGTTGTATTCTAGTTAGCCATTGCAAAGTCTGCTGCTGATTTCCGTAGACTTAGTCTCCTTGATGAATGACTTGCTTTGTTTTAGGGAGCAGACATCAACAGTACTGATTCTGAAGGACGCTCTCCACTTATTTTGGCAACTGCTTCTGCATCCTGGAATATTGTGAATTTGCTTCTTTCTAAAGGTACCAATCAGAAGCAGACCCATCTGCTCAGATAAACATCTATCAACCAGTTGCCTCATGCCAGGCACTGGGACATATTCTGTGCATACAAAGGTTCATAAAAGACTTCCCAAGCCTATAATAATGTTCAGTCCAGTAAAAATATTGAAAAGGTAATTCATAAAAATAACATATCACACATTTAAGGCAGCTGGTAAACACCTGGAGTTGTCTGAAGATGTTATGAGCTTTCTGTCATAGTAGACATATGTATAGATGCTGCCACTGTCTCCATTGCACACTGGCCTGGTGCTGTTGGGACAAAAGGGTCTGCTCATCTCTCCTTGTTAATTTTTTATGTTTAAAACTTGAGGATCCACCTAGAAATGTGAAGTATCACAGACTTTCCACTGTTTTTCTCATACATACACAAATGTACACAGAGTAAAGTAAGCCCATTTTAAAATGTCCAATTTTCCCACCTAACAATGGTTGACTGTGAGTTAAAGATTTGGGAAGAACCACCAAAGCCCATGTTATAAACTCATGAGTAGATTTTATTTTTCTACTGTGCTTTTTTTCAGGTGCCAAAGTAGACATAAAGGACCATTTTGGGCGTAACTTTTTACATTTGACTGTGCAGCAGCCTTATGGGCTAAGAAATTTGCGGCCTGAGTTTATGCAGGTATTGTATGTCCATGAATTGTAAACTAAGTCATATTCAGTATAGAATAAGCTGATTTTGTTGCCATTTATATTCTGAGAGCTCATTTTAGAATTTCAATACTGCTTTAAAATAAAGATGATTGTTTCCACCATAGAGGTAGGGATGGTGATAATTGGTTGATGACAATCCAGACTATGTTTTTAAAGTTACAGGGATTCTGTACTCTCATCTATATCTAGGGCCCATTGATAATCAGTCATTTTCCTTCACTGTTTCATTCGGCGAATTCCTTGTGAATGGAAAAAACAAGCCTAAAGGTGAATTACTAGTGTTTCACCATCAGCTAGGAAAACTGCTCAACACATTTGACTGACTGATGACGCATGACGTTTAATGAGCTAGCTAATAGTTACTGCCTAGCTATTAAGTGCATCTGAAATGTGAAGCTTTTCTTATAATAAGTAGATTCTCATGCTGTCACTGTGTTTAATACAGAATTAAAATACACATGGGGTTAAGTTGTTTTAAACAAAAGTGTTTACTTCCTGGATTAACCTTCTCATTTGCCTTTCATATTGTCATTTTGTCTATTTTAAAAATTAAGTAAATGCACTTTCAAGACCTCCGTTTGTTTGTTTGGCTTAACCTAAAGCATAGGTGCTGAACTGTTGTTTGTGGAAACAATGAAGAGGGGAGGAGAAGGGAGGACATATCAAACTGCTGCCTTGGCTTCTCCCTCTGCTTGCAGGCTCTCTCACATGATTGGAGACAAAACATGAGACCTCATCCATATGGATTTTCCTCTATATGTTTTTAGATTATTTGTAGATTTGTCTGCAACAGATTGGAAAATGCTCCGCTACAGAATAGGATGCAATCGACCCTCAGCACTGATGCCGTTATATTAAAAGACTCCTTCTCTCACAGATGCAGCACATCAAGGAGCTGGTGATGGATGAAGACAATGATGGATGTACCCCTCTCCATTACGCCTGTAGGCAGGGGGTCCCTGTCTCTGTAAATAACCTCCTCGGGTTCAATGTGTCCATCCATTCCAAAAGCAAAGACAAGAAGTCGCCCCTGCATTTTGCAGCCAGGTGAGGATCAGACTCCAGGTATTTGAGCGTGCTTGTTTCTGTTTTATATTTATCTCACACATGAACCTGACCTTTTCAAGTTATGGGCGCATCAACACATGTCAGAGACTTCTGCAAGACATAAGTGACACAAGGCTTTTGAATGAAGGAGATCTCCATGGAATGACCCCTCTCCACTTGGCAGCCAAGAATGGACATGATAAAGTCGTTCAACTTCTTCTGAAGAAAGGAGCCTTATTTCTCAGGTGAGTCATGAATTCATAGAATTGTGTATATCTTAAATTTGGACATTTTAAACTTTTCTGTAATATTTTAATTGATGTGTACAAAATCTATCTCATTTTATGTTCAAAACATACATAATTTCTCAAACGCTAAAATGGAATTAAGTATAATTCTCAATTGGTAAATTAGGTGTTTGGGTCAATGACCTTGCTGCAGAGTAAGTGGCTTTGAGGAGAGTATTTTTAAGAACCTTTGAAATATTTCTTTGTATTCTATGTCATTCTTTCATCTTCTTGTGGAAATACAGCGGTGTGTTGTGTGTGTGAGTTCATGTATGTATACATATGCACATATACCAACACAAAACCACTACGCACAAAGAGTTTTCTCTTCAGTCTAATAGATGAAGGATGCAAAGAAGTAGCAGTGGAAAACATTCAAGCTGACTGAAACTTAATGGCTCTTGTACTTAATGAAACCTAACTCTAGTGCTTCAGGGAAGTTACCATGACTAACAAAATCAAGTTAAAATATGAAGCATACATAATGAAATGTGTGCAGTAATTGAGTATCATCTTTATAAAAGGGAAAGAAAATCTAGAAACACTTAGGTTCAATGCTCTATCTCCAAGCTTCCCAAAGTGGCAGGGAGCAAGTGGATCACTGGACTCAAGATCAGCAGCCAGTTTCTTCAGCTGAGCATGTCTAGCCGTGTGTGAGTGATAGCCTTTAACCAAAGGCTTTGCCCAGTTTATTCCTGCTTCTAAGGGACACAGAACATCAGACCTGTAAAAGGGACACATGGAGACCCAGCTCCATAGCTGGTCCTTAATTACAGCATTACTGAAATAACCTGAAATAGTTACTTATGAGATCTAAAATTAACTTCTGTGATTTATTGTATTTGGTCAAGTATCACCAATATGACAACCATGCTTTCACTATATCTGTATCTTTAATTTCTGTGAATAAAGATAAGCAACTTTGATAGCACAAGATGGTGTAGACTTAAATGCTTAGAAATAATATTAACTACCTTACAACTACAAACACTAGTGACTGCAAAGACAATGAAAATATTATGGAAACTTTTCTGATATAATGCTCATGGAAACATGATTGAAAACTGTATTTATAAACCCTTTGAGGCTTTGAAAAGTAATACACAGAACACATGATACTTTCTCCCACTTGCAACAGTTTGGTGATATTCTTATATCTTTTATACTCCACTAAATTACAGATGTGAATCACAATTATGAGTGCCAGCTACTATGCTTGCAACTGTCTTATATGTATGCACTAATCATTGGGTTGTTAGATCCCATGCTTTGCCATCAGCTGAAGCTAGACTGAGCTCAGTGGTGTCACCTTCCATGTTTACCTGTAAGTGTATTTGCATGTCTTCTCTTACCTCTTTAACAGTGACCACAATGGCTGGACTGCTTTGCATCATGCATCCATGGGTGGGTACACTCAGACCATGAAGGTCATTCTTGACACTAACTTGAAGTGCACAGACCGGCTAGATGAAGAAGGGGTAGGTACTGGATTTCTTTGACCAAATTAGAATCTTGGCATACAGTAAACATGCAGAATTGTAAAGGACCTTCTTCACAGCATTTTTACTCTTTGCTCTGCTCTTGGCTTTTTGTCAGAATTTTAAAAACTAGTCTATGAAAGGAATAAGTAAAAGGGAGTAGAAATTGGAGAGAGACAGATGTGTGTGCATTGAAGCGAAAGACTATGATTTCACCCTAAAATTTTTATCTCTCCTTAGCCCAGAAATATAAAGAGAGCAGAGCTAAGAATTCCGAAAGACAGGCACTGGACACACAGCATAGTGATTTAAAAAGATTGACTTTAGTGTTGTTTATTGGGTATTGTTCTAGTTTATGTCTGTTGTTTTGATAAAACACCCTGATAAGTAACTTGGGGGAGGGAGGGCTTTATCTGACTCACAATTCTAGGTTATATCCTGTCACTGATAGGCTTATAAGACAGGTGCTCATGCATCTGGACATCACTTCCGCAGACAAGAGCCAAGAGAAATGAATGGACCCTTGCTATTTGCTCTCTGTTCATCAAGACTGTTCTAGCCCTACAGTGGGTAAAGGCAATTAATAATCAAGACAATGCACCCTAAACACACACTGGCTGACCAGATCTAGAGGACTCCTTAACTGAGGCTCTGTTCCTGGGTTGACTCTAGTTTGTGGCAAGTTGACAATCAAAATCATTGTAATTCTCCTTTTGTCAACTTGACATACAGATAACTGCATCATTTAAAAACTATATATTTCCTTTCCTTACTTACTAGTTCTCACATTTGTATTTTATGTGAAATATAATCTAATTTTAAAGGTCCCAGTCCTTAAAAAGCCAACGTTTTAAACATCCAAAGTCTCTTTAAAAGTCTAAAGTCTCTTAGACATGGGCTCCTATAAAAAACAAATTACATAGTTAACCGTTATTATTCCTAAGGGAAATGTGCTGGCTAGTTTTATGTCAACTTGACACAAGTTACCCACCTTGTGACAAAGTGTGAAGCCTCAATCACACTCCATGATCCCCTCTTTCATTTTTCATGCCTTTAAAACCTATATCCCAGCAGTTAATGTTTTCATTGTCAAGTTCTGCTGAAAGGCATAGCCTGTACCCCTGAACCACAATTGAATTACCCTGAGGAAATCTTTTCCTATTGTTCTAAGAAAGTACAGATGGCTTCAGTTCAGTACTGCTGACCAGTTATTAATCACAGCTGATTGTTCAGCTGCAGCATGATCAACAAAAGAATTCAAAGCCAAAAAAGTCATGAGATCAGGTTCATCACAGAAACAACTGTACTTCTTTGGTACTGATTTCTGTTCTACTTTCATGTATGTTGCTGTGATAAAGCATCTGACAACACAGAGAAAGTGTTTCTCAGGCTTCCAATTCTATGTTATAGCCAATCACTGAAGGGAATCAAGACAGAAGTTACTAGCAGCTAGTTGTATCACACACATAGCCAAGAACAGAGAGAAACGAATGGATCCTGACTTTCTAGCTCCCATATGTCCTCCTGTCTTTTCAAGTTCATGAACCCCTGCTGAAGGAATGATGCTACCCACCACCTACAATGGGCTGAGTCCTACAACAATCAACAATCAGGACATTTTCCCACAGACGTGCCCACAGACCAACCTGATCTAGACAGTTCACCAAGAGAAATGCTCTTCTGGGTTGTGTCAAGATGACAATTAAAACTACCATCTTTTCCTACTTATTTAGAGAGCATTAAAATATAAATTTCTTCAAGAAATAATTGAGATAGGCCATCATGATTTCTGTTTCTATTTTTTTAAAACACAATTCTGTGAACACTTCCTTGATCACTGTTTGTTTTTTAAATTTCTTTTCTTTTTTATTGGATATTTTATTTACACTTCAGATGTAATCCCCTTCCCCCCGACCTAGGAACCCCCTATCCCATCCCCCCTCCTGCTTCTATGAGGATGTGCCCCCATCCACCCTCCCACTCCCACCTCCCCACCCACGATTTCCCCCACACTGGAGCATCCAGCCTTCACTGGACCAAGGACTTCCTCACCCACCTATGCCTGACACTGTCATCCTCCCCAACATATACAGCTGGAGCCATGGGTCCCTCCCTATGTGCTCCCAGGCTGGTGGTTTAGACCCTGGGAGCTCTGATTGGTTGGTATTGCTCTCCTCATGAGGCCACAAACCCTTTCAGCTCCTTCAGTCTTCTCTTTCACTCCTCCATTGGGAACCCCATGATCAGTTCAATGGTTAGCTGTGAGCATCTGCCTCTGTATATTTCAGGGTCTGGCAGACCTCTACGGATACAGCTATATCATGCTCCTGTCAGCATGCACTTCCTGGCATCCACATCAGTGTCTGCCTTTGGTGACTGCACATGGGATGGATACTCAGGTGGAGCAGTCTCTGGACAGCCCCTCCTTCAGTTTCTGTCCCACACTTCGTCTCCATATTTGCTCCCATGAGCATTTTTAAAGACATTTTTATATGAGGAAATGACAAACCAGCATCCTTATGGTAGTCTCTGACTTCATACTGTGCTCGTGAAACTCTAAGTCTGGGATCCACAGGTCTAACAGGTGCTAAGTCCCTAGGGGCATGTCTTTCTGTGCTTTCTATAAGAGCCTCACCTCAAGAACTTCTCATTTGTTTTTATGAAGTCATCTTGCTCCAGAGGCAACAATGAGCAACACAAAGCAACATAAGCCCTTGAAACTCAATCTGTCTCTGTCTTTCGGTTTCTCTGTCTCCCTCCCTCCCTCCCTCCCCTGCCCCCCCCTCTCTGGATGATAGACCCATTGTTTAAAAGTGTCATAATGAACATGAGCTTTAGCCTGATATACTTTGCCATTAATCAGTACTTTAAGAAATTCAACAATGAAACAGGACAGCAAAACAGCCAAAGGATGCTTACTACTCTCACCCCCTATTGTATCTCTTGTTTTGGGTAAAAGAACACAGCACTGCACTTTGCTGCACGGGAAGGCCATGCCAAGGCTGTCGCAATGCTTTTGAGCTACAATGCTGACATCCTCCTGAACAAGAAGCAAGCTTCCTTTCTGCATATTGCACTACACAATAAGCGCAAGGAAGTGGTTCTCACAACCATCAGGAGTAAAAGGTGTGTATGTGTCCTCCTGTCTTCCCTGTGACCTGAGTTCTCTGATAACATGATGCACCCCTAGTCTGAGAGCAAATGAGAAGAAAAGAACATGCTTTGGCTTTGAATCTACATATACAAATGCCTACTGTTCAGTTATTGCTGGCAATGGAAGCTCTGCTTTACCCTCAGTATTCATTTCTACAAATTTTAACATGATAGCCCAATATTACATGGTTAGCCCTTTATGAGAATACTGGGTTCTAGGCACATGGAAGACTTAGCAACAAGGTTACTATCAAAGCAAACTCTGGCCTGCCTTCTTGGACTTGCCTGACATGTTCTTGTCAGCACAGATTCCCAAACTGGATGCTGATGAAGATATGCCTAGGGCTAGTAATCTAGCTCATCGGATAATCATGCTAGGCACCAACCCTGATTATGTATGTGACATATTCAACTAGATCTAGCCTACATTTGAAGCATAAGGAGTCTCGAGAAATTAATTTCTTTTGAACCACCAGTGAACCAAAGTGCTTACACATCATTTCTGACAATCATTTCTGACAATAATGCAGATATTCCATGTGAATTCTACTCATAAGCTGTGTGGATTGGTGGTAGTGGCATCGGACTCATCCTGAAGATGTTATGTTAGTGATCAATGAGCTCATCTTTGCTTCTTGTTATAGATTTAATTTCTGTTTGGAACATAAGTACCTTCAAATTCCATGTCTTTAGCCAGTGTTGAAGAAACAGACTCACTGAAACATTATGGCAGGATAAACACTCACTACTGTATTCAATACGTGCTATTTTTAATTCAGCACAGTACATTACATATATATGTGTTAAATATGGATGTGGTACAAGCTGGTAACTCTTTCAGGTGAACATAACCTTTTTTTCCTAACACAGACACCTCAGAACTACTTACCATGTCACAATTTCAGGTGAGAAAGAAGAATAAGGCCTGTCTTCTTTAAAAGGCAGTCAAAGAAAGACAAAGCATAACACCCATTCTGGACCTCACCCACAGTCCTAATTGCCATTAACAGATTAGTATCATCTTGATGAATTGACCTTGTTTCACATGATACCACTGCAATAATGAGAACATGTTGCTTTAAGAATGAAATTAAAACTTGGCTTCCGCTAGAAGTACATAATCTCTGGTTTGAACAGCAATGCAAAGCAGTGATAATCATTGTGCTTCTCTTACATACTATTTACAGATGGGATGAATGTCTGCAAGTTTTTACTCATGATTCTCCAAGCAATCGATGTCCAATCACAGAAATGGTAGAATACCTCCCTGAGTGCATGAAAGTAAGCTCCCTTAAAGCAAAAGTCTCCTGGGCTTGGCATGCAGTGTGGCTGGTGTGCTTACCCTCAGAATAATAGTTTCTATCTTCCCAGCTTCTATGAGGGAAATTAGCCAACAAATGTTCTATGAGGGCCTGCTTTGACAAAAGAATCCTAACAATTTTTACATTTAATATATATATAATAAAATTTGATAGATATATTTTTCTCCTTCAAATAATTAAAGTTTAGGACAGGGTCGCACTGGTATTTGATAGCTGGACTGATACTCTTTACATTTGTTTCTAAGATGTACACTCAGGATGCCGTTCTCAAGGATACAAGTGCCTGACTTTCCATAGAAATTAAAAATCGTAGGCCTCCTTCTCAGAGAGCAAGGATAACCATGTTGAATACCGCTTGCTTCTATTTGCAGGAGCTTATCCCATGTGGCACACCCAATTTCTTCCTTTTGCACACTCAGCTCTAATATTAAGTGGCAATGGTCATATATTGTCATTCTTATGGAACTACTTTCTTTATACTAGGAAGATTTTTTTAAATATATTTATCTATTCAAACATGAAGATAACAGTTTACAGCTTGACGAGCAATGCAGAACCTGATTATGAGTTTCCTGCACTCCTGGACAATATTATTGGCAGGGAGAAAATTATGGCACTAATTTACCATGGTTAGCAGTTAGAAGAAAACTCCCAAATTTTTGTTCTTCCTGATAAGGATCATGAAGCAAAGGAAAGCATGGGAATGCTTGTATATTATTTTAAATGTGGAATAAACTCCTTTCTCATGAACAATCTGCTGCTCCAATATTCAGCTGGGTTTTCTTTCTCAAAGGTTCTTTTGGATTTCTGCATGATACCTTCCACAGAAGACAAGTCCTGTCAAGACTATCATGTAAGCTTATTTTATTATGATATTATAAAGTATATTTTATAAAACTTCCTTGAAAATATGAAAGTGGTGCTACTTTATTTCTACAATCTACAGTAGTTAATGAGTATTGGCTTTATATTGCATTATTGATTTATGAAAGAATATTCTCCTTACATTCTAAGTTCCCCCCAAATCTTTAGTTTCTCTAACATCAATATTTAGTGTTATTTTTAGTGTTTACATTTACTTAGATGTTTTATGTGAATGAATAATCTCTAAAATAGTTCATGTCTGATGGGGTGAGTGACCAATTGCCCAGGAGTTCTCGCTGCATGTGCACTACATAGGACATCCCGTTCTTCCAGGATCTGAGAGGACAGCATGGATCCGAGAGAAGCAAGGATTTTTTTCTCAGGATTATGAAACTAGACCACTAGATTTGGATAATTTTTATAGACATGAGCCTAACCAAATAATTGCATTTTATTCATGGATATGAATTTTAAAGAAATTGAAAGAATATCTGTCCAATATATTTATTTTTATAATTTACATGTTCTGACCTAATTCCCTTTCTCTATTCGACATTACCCATAGTTATACTAGTAAACGTACAGCAGAAAATTAAACCTGTATATTTGATTTATCAAGAAGAAATGACAGGGGATTAGGCAAATGGCTCAGTGCTTATAAGCATTGCTGCCCTTTCAGAAGACCCAAAGTTGATTCTCAACACCTTCATGGTGGCTCACAATTAACTGTAACTCCAGTTCCAATGGATTCACTATAGTCTTCTGAAATTTGTGGGCACCAAGCACACATGTGGCATGCAGACAAACATGCAGACAAAACATCCATGTATCATAAATGAATGAATGAATAAATGAATCTCAAAAATAATTTTACAGAGAAGTACTTATTAGACTAATATTTTAAATTTATGTCTTCCACAGATTGAATATAATTTCAAGTATCTCCAATGCCCATTATCCATGACTAAAAAAGTAGCACCTACCCAGGGTGCGACATATGAGCCTCTTACAATCCTCAATGTAAGTGTAGTGTTTGCATGAATAGACTTGTTTGCAACTGAGCTTTGATTTGCTTAGATATAACATGCTTGGTGGAAATGGAGGAGCTCTGGGGAGACATCTTATAGTTCAATTTCCATACCTGTCATTGTGTCCAAGCATGTATTTTTTCACTATAGATTTTCTAGAATTCAACTTTCCTGGAGACCAGTCTTTCTAGGTTAACATGTTCACTTGGTATGCAGGATCCTTCTAACTAGGGTCTGTCTCTATTGCTTACAAGGATAGTTTGGTTTCTGCATTATGGTAACAGTGATTTTTGTGAATGAAAGTGATTGTGGGAAACTCTCTTGTCCCCTCAATCTTATTAATTTCTCACTATATATTTCTGTGATAATTAAAATGTAATTTAAAAATAGATACTAATATTAGTAACAACCTTGAAAGCTTATAATGTACACACTATTTTAATTGCTTGAATGTGCCCTACTGCAGAAATTCCTCTAGAAAGGTAAGGCTGAATTTCTTCACTGGCATAATGAAGGCAAACCCTTGCCAATTGACCTATAATGTCTGTGTGTGCTATAACTCTGCGTAATATCAACAAGATTATGACATATTGTTGGGGCAGAAATATTAAGAGACAGACTAAATCAAGTGGTTGCTTCTATATAAAAATGATTCCCTTTCTCTCTACCTCTATCTATCTATCTATCTATCTATCTATCTATCTATCTATCTATCTCCCCCACCCTCTCTTTAGCCCTCCCCTGTTTTTGAGTTTTTATTTTTTGTAAAAATAAAACTTCTCATTTTATATAAAAAAGTCAAAATTTCTAAAATAAGTATATGTTGCACTCATAATACTATAATAATGTCATAAATCAGAAAACAAAGACTCCGTTCAACCTCAGTTGTTTGACATAATTTTGTTTTGATGGCGTTTTACTCATTTTCAGGTCATGGTCCAACATAACCGTATAGAGCTCCTCAACCACCCTGTGTGTAGGGAATACTTATTAATGAAATGGTGAGTACCAGCCCTTCTCTTTAATCTGATGTTGCCATAAGCTCTACCAAAAGCCTTTTAAACAATTTTATTGCAGTGGAAATTTGTTGTTTTAGATTTTATTATCATGTTTTAGAATTTAAGAAGAATAAGCATTAAAAATCATTGAGACTATCTTTGACATGAATACATTTGAAATATGTGAAGTGTATGAAAGAATTATTGTCTGAGACACAAACCAATCCTGAGTCATGAAGTTTAGTGAGCAGTGAGATAATTAATAGGCATGCAGTACGGATAGCCTCAACTGTAGCCAGGGCACATGGATGGAAGACTTTCCGTGAGTTGGTGACACTTACATTATTGTTTGCTCAGCAACTGAGATTACATCTCTGAAAATGGAGAAGGTGAGTTACAAGAACTTTGGCTGTAAAATGCAGTGAATTATAGAATAGATGTCTGGAAATATGTCATTGCTATTTTTTCCATAGATGTCTTTTAAATATTTTTATTTGAGATGATTCAGTTGTGATTTGTTCATTTCTTTGTAGGTGTGCCTATGGATTCAGAGCCCATATGATGAACCTAGGATCTTACTGTCTTGGTCTCATACCCATGACCCTTCTTGTTGTCAAAATACAGCCTGGAATGGCCTTCAATTCTACTGGAATAATCAATGAAACTAGTAGTACTCTCGAGGAAAAAGTAGACACTCTGGTATTTTAAAACTTCAATATTTTAAAATTAAGGATTGTAAATATTGTTTTTCCTCAGAAATAACAAGCTTATAATATCAGGACTTAGATTATTATGAATACTTATATATCGTACACATTTCTTCTAACATCTGTCTTGGGATTAACAAATGATCAATAAGAGACTTTGCAACATCTAACTAAAATGCTAAGTGTGAGATTTTGCAGCTTTTCTGCAATCATTTTATCATTGTGAGGAATGCAGGAAAGGAGAAGTAGGAAAAGGTATTTCACAAGTTCAGACTTTTTCTTCTTCTTTATTGGATATTTTATTTACATTTCAGATGTTATCCACATTCCCCATTTCTCTTCCACCCAGAAACCCTCTATCCCATCCCCTCCTCCTGCTTCTATGAGGATGTGACCCCACCCATCCACCCACTCCCACCTCCCCACCGACGATTTCCCCCACACTGGAGCATCCAGCCTTCATGTGACCAAGGATCTCTTCTCCCACCTATGCCCAACAAGGCCATCCTCCTCTACATATACAGCTGGAGCCATGGGCCCTCCCTGTGTGCTCCCAGGCTGGTGGTTTAGACCCTGGGAGCTCTGATTGGTTGGAATTGTTGCTCTCCCCATGGGGCTGCTAACCCTTTCAGCTCCTTCAGTCTCCTCTTTCACTCTTTCATTGGAAACCCCATGATCAGCTCAATGGTTAGCTGTGAGCATCTGACTCTGAATATTTCAGGGTCTGGCAGACCTCTAAGGAGACAGCTATATCATGTTCCTGTCAGCATGCACTTCCTGGCATCCACATCAGTGTCTCCCTTTGGTGACTACACATGGGATGGGTACTCAGGTGGAGTAGTCTCTGGATGTCCCCTCCTTCAGATTCTGTCCTCCACTTTGTCTCCATATTTGCTCCCATGAGTATTTTGTTATTTTTTCTAAGAAGGACTGAAGCACCCACATTTAGAATGGGAAAGTTTTGGAAATAGATAGCAGTGATGGTGATGTAAGGATGTGAATGTGTTTAATGATAAGAATCATAATGTAAAGTATATTTAAGATGTAGAGTTTTTAAAAATATCAAATTAGTGGTGAGAGGCAGTGAGATGCATCAGTGGGCAAAACACAGATGTTACTAAGCCTGGTGACATAAGTTCAATACCTAGGACCCAAATAATAGAAAGAGAGAACCCACTTCTTCAAGGTGCCCACCAATTTCCCCCTTCATGCCATTACATGAACACATGCACATATGCATGTGTGCACATACACAGATACACACTATAGACTATATACATGCAATAAAAACTATAAAGTAGTAATTTTATGACATGTGTAATCACATTTGTAAAACGGTATGTAAGTCTGTAGATCTATGTTCTGTTATAGCTTACTTTGCACTGTCTGACCATGCAATGATTGAAGTGTTAAGGAATTAGTCTGTCATGTCTACTAAAAGAGGTGGCCATTGCCATGACAATGACTTTCACTTTAATGCAATTGTAGACAATGGATAGAAATGAAATGAGAGCAAAACAAAATTTACTAGCAGGAAATTATGATGCAAATAATTACTGTCTACATTTAAAACCCTCATAACCCCTCTGTCTTATACTTTTTGTTTCAGAATTCCTTTCCAATAAAAATATGTATGATTCTAGTTTTTTTATCAAGTATATTTGGATATTGCAAAGAAGTAGTCCAAATTTTCCAACAGGTATACAATTCCATTTGTATTTTTAAGTTATAACTATTTTAATATAGAGAATATTAATTAATTTGTAAACAATTATTTGGATGGTTTTGTCATACTAAATTCACACAGCTTCACTAATATAGAAACTTCATAATGTAAAAGTCACATAATCTTTGGTAAGGTCCCTGCCTAGTTGAAGCATGTAAGAAAGTGTTGTCCACCATTACTGCTCCCAGAAAGGTTTGCCTGTTATGTGTCCACAGTGATCCTTATGAATGAATGCCTTAGCTGTGGTTGCTCTTGCAATGTTAAAGATATTTTGCTTATCATCAATTTTAATTGTAATACTATAAATTGAATTTCAAATTTGAAATACAAACATTTTTACAGAGTGCATCCAGATCCCCTTTCAAACGGGTCTGTCTTTGAATTGTTGCCATGAGTTGAATGGCCTTTCTTTTTATTGAGGAAAAACCAAATCGTTATAAACTTTGGAAATGTTTGAGTTGGGGGAAGTTTTACTCTGGCTAAATCTGGTCTTGAACTCATGATCTTCTTGCCATCACCTCTGGGATGCTGAGATCATCTGTATGAGCCACACACATGGCTTGGAAATTTTTCATGACATTTTCCTTTACTTTATTCTTATTTTTAAGATAATGAATTAGGTGCAGATTAAACATAAGAATTATATAAAATATCCAAAGATATTTTTATTGGCAAATAAGAGAATCCCATTATTTCTGTGTTGTAATTTTAAAATTTATGCTTTTTGTATATTTTTAATTTTTTTAATAAATCACATCTCTTATAGCATTACATTTTTAAATTTTTGCATTGTTATATAATATAAGTACATGGATATTTGTATTAGAGAACTAATGGTGTTAATAAAAAATTGTATGCATTTACTATTATAGATTACAAATACTTTTGTGTGTATATATTTTCTTTTTTTTTTTTCAGTAAATTGTCACAATCCTGACAGTTAAGTTACATTGTTGTTTCATCTTAAATGATTTAGGACACATTATCTCTTATTTTTTCTCATTTTCTTCACTGAACATTGCAAATGATAACCTAAAAATTATAACACTATATAAATCTTCTGTTAGAGTTGATTATCCTTCATCTGGTTTATATTAAATGGTCTACAGTATGGACCATTTAATGTCTAGAACATTCTACTAAGCACAGACTTGTGCATTGGTGTGGTTTCCCCTGTTAACTCTCAGCACAGATCTCAAACATTTTTATTGAGGGACTTGCTCTCAATGTCTCAGCAAAAATGTGTGTCCTTAGATTCAGATAGAGTTCAGAAATTATGAAAGCAGCATGTAGTATTTTAGAAGTTCCCTGAAGAGGAAATGTACCCTGTATATGGAAAACCAGTCAACCAATCAACCATCCAAATGACCAAACAATCAAACCAACAACAAAACCAGGTAGCGTTTTATAATCCATCCATGCCAGATTTCCCTATGTGGTCATTCTCTTTCCTTCTCTATCCAGAAAAGGAATTACTTCCTGGATTACAACAACGCTCTGGAATGGGTTATCTACACAACCAGCATCATCTTCGTGCTGCCCTTGTTCCTTGACATCCCAGCATACATGCAGTGGCAATGTGGAGCGATAGCCATATTCTTTTACTGGATGAACTTCCTACTGTATCTTCAAAGGTAAGACCAGTGTGGATGGCATTTACATTCTTAAAGCCTTTTAATATCAAAGAAAGAACTAGTATAGATGAGGAGAATTTGTAACATGTTTTTTCACTGTTTCCAATTGTTTTAAATGTATTCTAATATCTTAATCCTGAAGGGTATAGGGCTTTCGAATCTCAGTCTACATGACTGAGGCTTTAATACTCCAATTGGGGACCCACTAATGATTTGTGGTGTATGTGAGTTTATGGAGGGGGCAGTTCTGCAAATGCACCAACATGTTGCATAGTTAGCAACATCCTTAACTTCTGCCCACTAGCCACCAGCTGCAGATCACCATTGTTAGTGTAACCTTAAAGAGTGTCTAGCCATGGACATGGTGGCCTCTATGCCAAATCTGCCTTCATCAACAAACCCAGACCAAATGTGTGCAGTAACGCCAATGAAAGCATCAACTGCTCTTGTTTCACATGACACTGTTTGATAAGCATTTACTTTGGTTTAAACCACTCATATTATGTTAATAAAAGTGATAGAAATGTAGGGCATTTTTAAAAAATAGTAAGTAATTCAAGAGAGGGAAAATGGGCTAAGTTAACCTAACAGTTGACTGGTGTTGAGTTAAATGTACTCTTTACATGTGTTTATAATAACAACAAGTAAATGACACAATCTGCCTTGAATCAAGGAAGAAGCTTCAGCACTGAGTAAGGGGAACACAGTGATGGTTTCAGCTAGTAAGTTGAGAAATAGGTTGGGTTGGAGGCTTGGGTCTCCAGGGAAGTGCTTACCCCACTGTAATCTGCATTGCTGTAAACAGTAGTCTTGCTGACTGAGGTGTAGACCCTTGGAGAGAGAGGGCATGGGTGTGGGAAGAGCAGTGACCACAGGGAGTGCAGATTCATGCTAGGCACTAGCAGTGAGTTTGCTATATTTCTGTTCCCTTTGTGTACATTGCTAAATTTTCTTTCAGATTTAAAAAAAAATGTATTTTTTATTGACACACATAATTACAAAGTACAAGCCTATGTTTTGATTCATATATATGTTAGGTAGTGGATTTTCTTTTACATGTTGTGATTTCTTCTTTTATGAATTTTTTTTGACAAACGAAGAGTACAAGCTAGTGGACAGAGGTTACACTTGTCTATTCAAACATTTCTCAGTGGATTATGTGTGCTACAGGTGGGGCACAAGGAGAGATGAGTGTAGGCTGTGCTCTGCTCTGTGGGCTTCTGCAACTGTAAGCTCCTTTATTCAATCTCTATTTGATCCAACACAGAATTTCTGTCCACAATCCCTTTGTTAAAAGACTGCTATCATTTATTTTAATTTGGGTTTGTGATTATTTCTCTTTACCACTTAGAGTGAACTTCTATTCCCTTGGTCAACTGAAAAGACAGTGTAATACTCTGTTCAGGGCTACACAGACAGATCCTGTCTTAGGAAGAGGAGGAGGAGGAGGAGGAGGAGGAGGAGGAGGAGGAGGAGAAGGAGAAAGAGGAGGAAGAAGAGGATGAGGAAGAGGAAGAGGAGGAAGAGAAGGAAAACGAGGAGGAAAATAATCAGACTTTTAAAAAAAAATCCTGATTATGTGCAGATTTTCATTTATTGGTTTATTCCAAAACAACAGATTTGCATTTGTTTTTTTATTCTAGAATGAGTGGCTTTGGTGATCTCATCCTACCCTCCTATCTGACTTACTCCACCCAGTGAGCAATTGTTTTAATATTTTTACTTTTCCAGGTTTGAGAACTGTGGGATTTTCATTGTTATGTTGGAGGTGATTTTTAAAACATTGCTGAGATCGACGGGAGTGTTTATCTTTCTTCTATTGGCTTTTGGCCTCAGCTTTTACGTCCTCCTGAATTTCCAAGTGAGATATTTGCATCTCTAGTTGATTTTATTTCTAATAATATCGAAAATATCTATTTATACCTTAAATTTTAATGACCTAGTAAATTAATAACTGTAATTAAATAACCTTTATCTTATATATCTTTTCAATGATTTTAAAGCAGAAAAATTATAATTTTATTAGATTTTTCTGTGTCAAAAGTTTATATTTAAGTACAAAAATTTTTCTTATGTTTACTTTTAATGTTTGTATTTTATTAATACTTCTCATGACTGCATCTCACTAGCTGCATGTGTGAATTAAATTCTCAGCATTATTTGCATCATTTGACCATTAGGAAATCCCTTTTCATGCTATATGATTTTCATTTCTTATTTTTTGTTTCTTCTCTTTTCAGGATGCCTTCAGCACCCCATTGCTTTCCTTAATCCAGACGTTCAGCATGATGCTAGGAGACATCAATTATCGAGACGCCTTCCTACAGCCATTGTTTAGGAATGAGTTGGCATACCCGGTCCTGACTTTTGGGCAGCTCATTGCCTTCACAATGTTTGTCCCAATTGTTCTCATGAACTTACTGGTAAGTGGTATATCTTTGCTCACTCCATTAATTACTTGAACATTTTATAGTGATAAAGATTCTTAACCCCTTTATTCTCTATTTGGGTGTATTATTCAGCTGTCTGTTCCTGAAAGAAAGGACAGAAGCCAACAAGCTTACAAAGATAAGGTTTAACAGTTCTGGTTTCCTTGTCCAGGGGCATGGTATCCAGGTCATGAAGGGTTTCTTAGTTACTGCCTCCCTGTCTACACTCTTCTTGCCCTCACCTCTTCCTCTAACTGACCTACATCTCAAGATTTGATCTTTATCACAGCAGTAAATGGACGAATGTGCTATCTCATTTTTCTGCCAAATTCTTTCTATGAATTTTCACTACAGAAATAGCTAATTAAAAGCTGATCATTTTGAAAGAGGGCCTGTTAAGTTCATTCTGATGACTCTGTAGAAGCCTTAGTCCAATCCAGACCCATCTGTAGTGCATGTTTAATCTCTGTCGTTACCTTTAATCACTGTCATCTTGATCTTAACTCCCATCTTCCACAGGACCGTTTTGCTTTTCCTTCCTCCCTCTGAAACTCTTGTGCAGAGTTTTCCTTTTTTCCTAGGACACCTTCCCACCATAGGCCAACTGTTTCTGATCTTTAAAAGTTCAGCTCACGTGTTGAATCCTCTGGGCAGACTTCCTTCACCCGTGAACAGCTCCATCCACACCACTTCAGTGTGAAGTGGATGCTGCCACATCATCTTATCCTATGATTCCTCTTTGGCAGAGAGATCTGGCCACCATTTTAAGGTTTAATTGGAAGCTTCTAAATAGTAACTCTACCATAAGGACAGTGCACTGTGAGCAGTATTCACAACTATATAAACATGTATGTGGAAACTTGTTATTGTTTTTGACCTGCTATTCCTTGAGACTACACAAAGACACTGTGTACAGCGTTGAATCTGCTACCATCATTTTAGACTTGCAAGCCTCAATGGTTTTTTTCTTTCCTTTTTAAAAAATCTTTCTTTCGTACATCATCACATCCTGACTGCTGTTTCCCCTCCTCCCCTGCAGTTTTTCCCCCCCTCCATTCTTTACTCCTCCTCCACATCCCTCAGAAAAGAGCCTGCGAGGGACACCAGTTACAGCTAGAGACCAGCTTGGCCCAATCAATGTAAAGAACAAAGTCACATTGCATATATGCCATCTGGCCCATGACATGAAGTTGCTTATTTACCATTTAGTTTATGGTGTTTAGTTATTGAATCTTGAGTAGAAAGTGAGACCAACCTTAAGTGCATGTTAGTAATGCTATGATTGATCTTTTGTCATTCCACAGATTGGTTTGGCGGTTGGGGACATTGCTGAGGTCCAGAAGCATGCGTCATTGAAGAGGATTGCTATGCAGGTACTCATTATAATTATTAAACACATACCAAAAGCAACACTCCTGTTGTTATGTGTACATAAGAATAGCTGATTTTCTAAGAACATGGTTGTTTAATATGGATATTTCACCACATTGAAAAGTGCCAACTGTGCATTCTATAATCAAAAGAGACCATGGAAAAACACCCTGGAGCTATCTACTCAGAAAAAAACACTGGTATGAGTGTGTGTGTGTGTGTGTGTGTGTGTAGGTTTGTGCAAATATATGTATGTGGGGTATGTATAAGTGTATGTGCGTCTATGTATGCAAGTAGGTGATTATATATACATATGTGTCGGTGTATGTGAATATATCTGTATGTATGTATACCTCTGTGTGTGTGTTTATATGTAGTATGCGTATAGGTGTGTATGTATGTGTCTATGTAGGTGTGTGTGTTTATGTGTATGTGTGTTGGTATATGTGTTTATGTGTATGTGTGTGCATATGTATGTGTAAGTGTGTGTATGTGTATGTTTATATGTGTGTAGGTATGTATGTATTTGTGCATAAGTGTGTATGTCTCTCTGTCTCTCTCTCTGTGTGTCTCTGTCTCTGTTTCTGCCTCTGTGTGTGTGTATGTGTAGGTGTGTGTGTGTTTCAGTGTTCTACCAGGCTAACCTTAACTCACTTTGTCATTCACTTTTGCCTTTAACACATGACCTTCCTGCCCCAACCTACTGAGTGCTGCTATAACCCAACTAATATGAGGCATTTTGTCTTACTACCCAAATATTTGTTTAAGAAGCTCTCCTGATATTTTGACATGTGACCACACGGTCTCTACATGTTTTATATTGAAGCATTAACTAGGCTTATCAAGCTTTGTTCTCTTGTGTTCTTCTCTTGTTTTGTAATGCTTTTAATATAAAGTTCCCCAGAGTCAAAGGTTTGTGGATAAGTCATTGGCTACCATATCTTGAGGTAGTTTTTCTATGCTCTAGATGGCATTGTCTTATTTAAACTTTGAATGAAACAGTGTGGTGCTTCAAGAAGACTTGGTGATCAGTTGGATACATGCAGTTAGAAACTTCAGTAAACTCAAGAGAAATAGAAACCCATGCTATGGTATCATTTTCTTTTCTCCCTTGTCACATTGTGCACATGTTGTGTATTAGAAAACTGTTCTGTGAAGAAATATATGCACACCAATAAATGAACTATGACAAAGAAAAGGCAAGAGTGAAAAGAAAATTATATCGTAGCTGGCTAGAAGCACATATGACTAAGTACTCATGGTTAAGGTACAATCCTGTCCATCACTGGCCTGTCTTTGTCTTGGCTCCACACTGTCCTGCAAACTTGTCTTACCAGCTCTTAAAACCAGGTGAAATCTCTTCCTAGCATACACACTGCTCTCCTGGCTGCCACCAGGGCTTCAACATCTCCCTTTCCTCAGAATGGAAGTTGACTCTAATGTTTGAGCAGCCTGGTAGCCAAAGATGACCAGGTAGACACAGCGTTTAAAATATCTTCTCTCCAAAAAGGGTGTTTGCACTGCCCAGAGGAATGGAGTGAGTGAAAGTTGGAAGATGGTGGACTTGTGGGTAGTAAGGGCCTGGAGATGTCACTCAATGGTAAAGGCTTTGACTACTATTTCAAGATGATGGCCTCCAGTAGGTATACAAAACACACACACACACACACACTTATACATGCACACACAAAGGCACACAGGTGGTGAGGCATCAGTGAGACTGTTCTGAAGAGGATAGAACTAGAGGAAGCACATGAAATTCTTAAGGTGCTGATGTATGACCCTTGGCCTGGAAGGATGGCTGATGTGAGCAGGTGACATTGTTGTCCAGATGATGGAAGGCTCTATTTGCAAAGAATGAAGAGAAGAAGCTTTAGCACTTAGAAAAAAATGGGCAGCAAATGAAATGCTTCAAGTTGTCATATTAGTGTGTAGAGAGTTGTTATCAGCCCACACTGGATGAGCACAGCATTTAAGCTGATCTGCTACTAATCTTGGTTCCATGGAGAAAAACTAGAGGAAAGAAAGGAGATAGGAAGAATGGTCAATGACCTTTGTCAGACACATCTCTTTATAATTATTGGAAAGGCATTTTAAAACAGTGGTGAGAATAAGAAAAAGGAATAATGTAAACAAAAACCAGTAGCGGAGTTGGAAAGTCCCATTCCATGTTGTATTTACTGTGCTCTCTGTAACCAGACAGCATCTAAGGACAATGTGACACTGCTCCTTCTTTTAGATGAAGAACAGCATTGACCAGCTGTTCAGAAATTCATTCTCTTTTTCCTTGAGCTATTTTTTCAATCAATTCTCTACATCTATAACTAAGCAGGAGCAGTATGGAGCACAAGTGTGGAATGTTGCCCACAATCACTCAGTTCTTTTCCCAAACCACTTCAAACCCAAGTGTAGACAGAGAGCCCTGGGCAGGTGCACTCTGGAAGATGTGCTCTGTACAGGGGTTCCAGTGCCTTGGGTCAGTATCACTGAGGGAAACCTATTCCAGTGTGATACATCTTCTGTGGATCCAATTTTCTGCACAGTGCTAAGGACTTTAGTCACTCCATAAATATTTATATCTCTGCTCAAATTAGGAAAGGAGATCTGCAGAGCACACATTACCTTTCAGCATGAAAACCCACTAGTGAGCAAAGGAAGAGGTGCTGCTATAGCCTACCAGAGTAAAGCATGCTCATGGGCCAGATCCACATTCATCTTGTGGCTCATGCTCCCAGACTCCCAAGACTACATTTGAAGGAGGAAATATGGCAGTCCCTTTGTAGACAATGAAGAGAATTAAGATGCCATGGCCTTCATCTGTTGTCCAAAACTGGGCTTCACTAAGTAATTTTCAGTTGACAATGACTAACAATAAAATGTTATCTCTGACAAGTATATAAGGCAAAGGGAACATTACCCAGAAGACCTAAGAGAGAATTGGACTCAGTACATTATCATAATAATCAATACAATATATAACCAGAATGATAATGAAAGCACAAGACAAAATACAGCATTTTTGGAAATGAAACTAATTTACTGTGTATAAATGGTGGTACATACCATTAAAAATAAACAGGAAGCCTGATAGAGAGAGACTCTTACTGGGGGCACACTTTGAGGCTGTCTACTCAGGAAGGTCTTTATAGTGGACCTTGCTGAATCATTGAACCAGTCAAAGTCATCATTGAAATCCTAGACATTGAAGAACAGTGTGGTCTTAGATTCGAAAGAGACTGCTGTTGTGTGGTTATCACAACCAACCCTTTCAAAGAGCTGCCCAGACCTAGAAAAGAGTAGAAGACACACTTGGTGAATACAGGCAAAATGAAACTTGGAGAGCTCAGTGAAAGACTATGTGAGCTCCTTCCTGACTGAGCATATGTAAGACCCTGAGTTGGATACCTAGTACTGCCCCCCAAATAATAAACAATTAAACTCAACACAAGCTCAAGACGGAAACATTAAAGAGATGAAATACAGCATCTACAAATAGAAGTTATGGTTGTTATATATCATAGAAACTTTCTGCACCTGCTAATTTAACAACAGTAGCAACAACAACAAACCCAAGGAAGGAGCACGCCAGTTCCATTTTCTGTTGGTTTTCCTTTTGATTTGTACGTTTAACTGCATTTGCATATTTATTTTTTATCTCCCCAGCTAAGCCATCCTTCCTCACCTGTCCTGGGTACATCATACCATTCAGACTCCCAGAAGCACTAGACTCATGGGATTGTAACACCCCAAGGGAGTACAGGCTATCTCATTCTTCTTTGTATCACCAATGTGGACTCCCACCCCTGAACACTAAACTTCAGCTTGCTTACATTAAATTCTTCAACCATTTGTTTCACATTACTTTCTGGTCTCATAGGTGATGAGTGAGGTGAGGGAGGGCAGCTAGGTCACTGAGCAAAGGAAGGTGACATGGGAAGACAGCCTGGTCAGCTCACTCATTATGTATAATTTGGGACACAGGAATCCATTTTTTAAATTTTATTATAGATGTGATTGTTTTAGATACTAATTAATAATTCTATCAATAAATCCTACATGCATTTTAGGTGGAACTTCATACCAACTTAGAAAAAAAGCTGCCATTATGGTACTTACGAAAAGTGGATCAGAGGTCCACCATCGTGTATCCGAATAGACCCAGGCACGGCAGAATGCTAGTAAGTAAGACTCTTAAGAAAAAGCATACTAAGTAATGGTGTGTGACATTCATTCATTGTACTGTTCTCAGCAGTCCCCCAAGAAGGCTTTGAATCTACTCTGCCTGTGGGAAAGAAGTGGTTGTAATTTTGTAAGTGTACAACACATTATATGAAAGTATCAGGATGCTGTGAGGGAGACAGCTGTTTTGCACAGCAGCACATGAGAGGTGCACATCTGTGTACAGCAAGCCCACGCAGGTAGATGGGACCGCTTTACCATTTTAGTAGCTGTCTCCAGGGTAGGTGTTCAGTGCCTCATTTGCATTTTCTGATCACTTGCCACAAACACTGACATGTAGGTTTATGTGCAGCTGTGTGCATCTAGGTGCTAATATAGAATGCAAAATAAAGAACACACAATGGAGAATGTCTATTTAAAAGACATGTAAAAAAAAATCAAAGGGAACCCAGGACCATGGTCTTCTGTAGGAGAGAAGAGACAGATGTACTAAGAGTCAAAAGTTCCAGATCCTAGCTCTGCCATGCCCAGGCTGACGACATCTTTATGCATTTTTAAATTTTTCTTTTAACAATGACTTCACTGTAGCCTTTGGCCTGATGGCTTCCCGGGTAGACAGAAAAAAATGTCTGATTGAGCCTGACTTGGGGGACGAACTTTGATGCATGCACATGAAATAGTTCCTGAATTTAATCCACCTTTAGTAACTACTGTGTTTTATCCACAGCGGTTTTTTCATTACTTTCTTAGTATGCAAGAAACACGACAAGAAGTACCAAACATTGACACATGTTTGGAGATGGAAATATTGAAACAGAAATACAGGTATGTATTTTTCCATCTGTCTTCATGTGAGACATTGGGTACAAGTACATTATGATAGTGGTCTTAATTTTTGTATATGAAATTAGGCTTTACTGAGGGACATTGCACATGCAGTCAAAACCAAGAGACATGGTTTTGGAATCAGTTTATTTGTGGCCATTCACCAACCAGTTTGCCCTCCCAGGAGCAATTGAATGAGAATTAAGAGCCAATTTCCCTACTCCTGGGTTCATTATCATAAACCATATTCCTCATGAGCCATCTGGGTTCATATAACAGAACCCTAGAAGACTTGAAGAATTCTTGGAATAACTGCCTAGTGGGCAGGAGATATCCATGAGGGCTCTACAATTACCTGAATTTAGATTGCCCATCAACTATTTAGTAACTGTCCAGGGGAAGACTGCTTAACTGTGTGCATGTTTCATATCAGTAACAGTAAACAAGAACTAGTCACAAACTAGTACTCTAACTTAGGGAAAATCACTCGGCCTTCTGCAATGTGATGGCTACTATGAGGTTACAAGCTGAGCAGAATATTTCTAGTCACAGTCAGAGGGGCTTAAAAATGATTGAAAGTCAGTTCATGATGGATGCATGTTCTTACAGGCTGAAGGACCTCACTTCTCTCTTGGAAAAGCAGCATGAACTCATCAAGCTCATTATCCAGAAGATGGAAATCATCTCGGAGACAGAAGATGAAGATAACCATTGCTCTTTCCAAGACAAGTTCAAAAAGGAGCGGCTAGAACAAATGCATAGCAAATGGAATTTTGTCTTAAGTGCAGTTAAGACAAAAACACATTCTTCTATTAGCCATCCAGACATTTAGTGGGGTGTCCTATGGGAGTGGGAGACTGCTTTACTTATTTCAGTGAATTTCAGTTTGGAAAAGGGGAAAGAAACAGAAGTTTGACTAATGTCACTGCACAGGAGTTTCTAGTTCCTGGAACTTCTCCCCTATTATATGCTCATATTTTCTGTCAATCACTGTATTGGGAACATCCTTTCTGACATGTTGAAATTGAACTTTAATGAAAGATAATTTCTTCTGAGTGAATAAAAGAACAGGGTTGTTGGAATACACATTATAAAAGACAAGAAATAATGTAACTATTATGGTAGGACACAAGTGTCAATATTACATTTCTACTTAATAACTACATAATACAAGATGCATATAATCCCACATATTATATTTAATCTCCTACCATGATAAGCCTTCCTGTGTTAGAACCTGGGTGGGACACTGTAATCTCTGTTTCTACTATGATTAAATCATAGCCACTCTCCTCGTCCCATCATATATGACATCATTTGGAGCCATAATAACAGAAGTCCCAGTTAGTAGATTATGATAAGTATGAATGTTACAACAGAAATGTGTTCCCTCCGTGTTTATATTTATCAGTTGTGAGGCTTAAATGAAAAACTTCGTCCACAAGGTCATATATTTAAACCCTTTGTCCCAGTCAATGCTGCTACTTACAGAGGCCACGCAACCTTGCTTGCTCTCTCCTTTCTGGATGTGGACAGGAATGTGGTCAGTCAGACTCCTGCTCCTCCTGCCATGCCCTTTTCTCTATTGTGGACTCTTTCTGAAACTGTAAGCAAAAATTCATTGTTTTTTCCTCAAATTTCTTTTGGTCATGATATATCATAGTGACAGAAAGTAACTTAAATACCAATGGTCTTAATAAAGAGTAAAGCCTGTATGGTCATTCCTTGGGGACAGCAGTATGAACTTTTATTGCATTGAGCTTTTTGAAATTGGAAATGCACCTTCATTGGATCGCCACCTTTATTCTTTTCTTGCATAAAACAAAGAGAATTTATCAAATAGCCCAGCTCTGAGCTTCATAAAGTGATTCTCATCTTTATTCCTTCACCAACACCAGAGGATAACTACCCTATGAACATGACTTTGATTATGCATGTCCTAATGTTATGTAGATAGTGTTGTTTTGAATATTATGTGTCTCTTTTTCTATTTGCTATTCTTTTCCAATGGACATTATGTTTAATTTACAAGATAAATTACACTATGTGTCCATCTAATATCCATCTAGATCCTCAGATAGGTCATCTTATTTTGTAGATGCTTAGAATTACCTGGTCTAAGAGATGGTATATCTTAATGGCTTCTACCTTCTCACTCTCACATACATTCAGTGCAAGTTCAACATTCAGTGTTGCATAGCAATTTGTCATATTCTAAACCCAGACATGTTTATGTTCATGGTCCAACAAAACACATGCAATGGAGGCAGTGTTCTATGTGACTTCATCTTTGGTGTCAAGTTCTCTGCTTTCCCTTAAAGTCCAAAAGCCATAATTTCCAGTGCAGGAACAATAACCAAGCACCTATCAATTGTATTATGAAGTCCTTCACTGTCCTCAAATCTCTGCACAGTTTCATTATTCAGGGCTACTGAGCACCATGTGAAAGAAACTCTATGCCTCATGTTGTGGGAGACACTGAAGTATGCAGGTTGACAAGTTACAACCTCATAAACATGTAGCAAACCCCTAAAGTTTACAACTAAGTGAATCCTCCTGAAATTCTCTCCTGCTGTTGCCTCCAACACTGTTTCTTCTGCACACTCCTCTCTGTGACTGCATCTTCTTTCCTGAATGCTGATGTGGTGCTTCCATTTCTGCTCTGTTCTGACTCTGATCTCTTACACACTGTTCTCTGGAAATATCACCATTACTCTGCATAATTGAGCTGACAGAGTCTTTTTTTATTCAATCAAAACCTAGGCTTATATCTCCATAGTTTTTCAAATTAAACACTCAAAATATTGAATTCAGACCAGATCTTGGCTTCCTACTTTCAACCAAAAATATCAACGTTCTTTCAGGCTCCTACATCTGAAATTAACATGCATCAAGATATGTTGAGGTGTGCTTCCAAAAAAAGAGATCTAAGGCTTTATAGCCACACTGGCGCAGTATCTATACAGTAAAACACTTTCCTAGTATCTATATAGCTCCGGGTTCTTTTCCAGTACTAATAACTAAAGAACAGAGGTTATAAAGATCTCACTCCACAGAAGTAATACAACATTCTAGACCTAGTTTAGCCCCTTCTTCTGGTAGGTAGTCACTCTTGGTCCACAAACTTCCTGATTCCCATCTTCCTCTCCTTTTGTCTTCTGTACACTCTATTCTCTCTCCAAGTCTTTCAAAGCTTAGTTTATGTGGTATCTTGACATGGAAGTCCTCCTGAATGATGCCCTTGGTCTCTTATGTACTGATATAGATGTCTCTTCTACTTCTGCCTATAATGGTGATGATAACCTGCCTCTGAACCAGGCATGACATTGGCTTGTTCCAGTTCACTTGCATCTTCAGTCTTAGGTGATACAAAGGATGACAACTTTATTTGCTTTTATCCCTCATAGCTTGTGTGTGATCTAGGATAACACCTAGATACTCAACAAACACAATAAAATCAAGAACGTAACAAGTACAAGCTAGAAAAAGAAGGTAAGGAAACTGCCTCAAATGTGGTTTGTGCCCTTGTACTATTGGGCCAGCAGATTTCTTCCTGAGAAGCAGCAGTGGCATGGCAGACACACAGCCATGCTTTCTCTTCTCACTACATCAGTCTGTGTTATTTTTATTACTTTTAACTATGGTGAGAATGAACAACAGAGAGAGTTTGTACTTCAGAATAGGACAGTGTGTACCTTTGCGTGGACTCTAGCCCCTATTAATTCAGTAACTCTGTAATTGCCTCATCTCTACAATGATGTCAATAACATATGTTCCAGCGGAACACTAGCAAGATTAGACAATGTGTACACAGGTTACCTACCTCACTAAGTCTCACATAAGAAAAGTGGTGCATCAGATAGAAGCAGACATTTATTATCCTTTAAATTTCCTTGAAAGTTAATCAGCATCTTGCTCTCAGGTACTCCTAGACTCCATTATCCAGGCTATAATATAAATCGCACATTTCATGAACGTTTTCATCAAGATAAAACATTCCAATGTTTTTAGCCTTACTTTCGCCTCAGAGTCAAATGAATAAACACTGCTGCCCACTAACTCTGCTACCTACCACCAATGAGTGTTTTTTGGAACTCATTCATGAAATATTTATTAAAATAACACATTTAGGGAAAAAATCAACACAATGTGTACATCATTACTGAAAAATGTATACCATCATACAAAAAAGGACCTTATTTTAGAAAATCAATTTCTAATTATAGCAAGTTTTACTTTTAGAAATAAATCTACAAACCGATGGATTCTAATTCATCCTGAAAGACTGGCATGATGAGCAAGGAGTGGTCTTATTCTTTGGAGGAGTTCCTTCCTTACACTGTCAGCTACCAGTGCTCTGCCACCAAGCCATCAACAATAATGCCTCTACTCCTTTTTCTTTAATTACCTCTACAGTGTGCCTTCAATTGATCCTTCCAGTCGCATTCAATTAGTTTAGCTCTCAGCATCTCTTTGAGGTGTTGTCCTTCTCCAGTTTCTATTAACTTTTGGCTAATCACTGCTCTCATCTGCACATCTTTGCTTACTGTGCTAGCCACACTTTTCGGCTGCCTGGACTTAGACTCTCAGTAGCACAAAAAAAAAAAAAAACCCACTGAGTATTTTAAACCATCTGAGAAACTTCGCTATGACCAGATTAAATAATGGTAGCAAAGGAAAGGCCTGTGAGGGTTCCTTTGTATGAGACACTGCTAGAAACCCATGCCTTAACTATTCAGATTCTCAAAACCTCATGTGTGTGCTGTGATGACCACTCCTGATACCTCCAGACTGAAACCCTTGCTTGAAGTCACATTGCTGAGAGAGGAGCACAACCATACCTTTCCAGATTTTGTCTTCTCATTGTGCACCTACATTCTCTCCTAAGAAATGAACAAAGAACATTACTTCACCAATGGCTTCATGCTTAGGTTACTGATTGGACTCATGCAGGGAAGTGTTTATTATAAATGTGGGTATTGGAAGGCTAGGAGACACAGGGCATGCAGACAGTGAAAGCAAGTGTGAAGGCTTCCCTGAACAGAAACTTCCTAGCTCCTCCCACTCTATAGCTTGCTGTCAGATTAAAGCACATGTCTTGCAGAGTTGCCTGAAAGATTAAATGACTCACCACCAATACAGTATTTCAAAAGTGACTTGGCACATAGCACTCAATAAATACTAGCCAGTGTGGAAAATATATTATTTGCAAAGATCTGAAGGATTATGATTTACTTAAAGATTTTTTTTCAGTTTTGCTCCAGATTAAGAAAAATAAGATCTATGCAAAGCCATCTTAAAAAGTCAGTGATCAAATCCTATTTCAGTGTCTTCTAGCGTGGTTCTGAATTTCACATGCATGATTTGATTCAGGTACCAAGTATCCCACCACTATCTCATCAGGCTGACATGGCATTCTATAAGCCATAAAAATTCAGAGGCAAATTGCTTCTTTTAATATGACTAACGTAGACTTCATCTCCCTAGACATCTGAATTCACAGGACAGCAGTTCATAAGGAGGTAAAGGGGGTGATAAAGGAAGACTATGAAGAGAAAGCACGTCATCTGAGAAGTAGGTATAAATAGTAGTGCTTATAAGCAACTCCCAGGCTCTCTGTCTGTTCAATGTGTTTAAGTCACAGTCTTATTTTAAATAATACTGTAAATAACTTGGGCCAGAAATGCAGTTATCATTGAGTGTAGAGTAACATAAGATTCAGGGGAATCTCATGGCAAATGATTCACACATTCACAAACTATCACCAGTGAAGCTCAAACTCTGAAGATCAAGGCTCCCCTCCTACCTGCAGATTGTATCTTCCATATTAATCACTGACAGCTATTCAAAGGGTCAAGCTGTTTGCACTTCACAGTCACCAGTGCTGAAGAGGGCATGGTGAGCATATTAAGCCACCTTGCTTTTCTTTTTTTTTTTTTTTTGAGCTTTTAGTATCTTTATAAACATCCAATGGAAGTTTTTAAATCCCTGTGAGACTGAAATTCCATTAAGTACTTTTTTTTTCATTTTTACTTGAAAAGTAGTAATTGAAGCTACTTAGAAAACAATGAGATGTCCCAGTATTTAAATTTGTAATGATTAAATCAACTAATTGATATATCTGTTACCTCATATAACTTATTATTGTGATATGAACATTTAAAATCTACTAACCAGATTGTGGGCAGAAGATGTTGGTTTGGTTTGCTTTAGTTTGGTTTTTTTGTATAGCCTGGCTGTCCTTGAACTCACTCTGTAGACCAGCCTGGCATCAAACTCAAAGATCCGCCTGCTTCTGCGTCCAGAATGCTGGGATTAAAGACGTGAGCCACCACACTCAGGCAGTTTTTACAAATATGTTGAGTTTGATGGAGATTATGTCCTTGAGCAAAGACCCCCCTTTTCCCACCCCACACACAGCTCAAGTAACCACGTTTTTGCCCTCTATATTCCAGGATTTGAATTGTAAAGATTCTGCAGCTAAAAGAGAACATATGATATTTCTGTTCCCAGTCTTTTGAAACATTTAAAATAGTGATTTTTACAAATGCATTTATGATATGCCAAGAGGCCTGACTTTTACAAGTATTTTTTTTTGAGGCTCTGTATTGCTTTTTTTTTTTATTGGATGATTTATTTACATTTCCTATGTTGTCCCCTTACCCCATCCCCCACCACCCCCTCAGAACCCCCAATCCCCTCGCCCCTCCTCC